ACAACAACAACATAGGGTTTCTGAGGCTGTAAATCTCTACGGGAGCAGAAAGTTTCATCTTTCTTCCATGGACCCACTGGTAGTTTCGAACTGCTAACCTTGAGATTAGCAGCCCAACTCAACCACTATGCTACCAGAGCTCTCTCTATACATATATATTTTTTTACAAACTTATCATTTTTATTATAACAAAAGAAAACAAATATAGTCCTCTTATGTTAACAGAATCACCACTAGCTCTTTGAATTTTCCTCACATTTTTTCACAGATTTTTGTTTTTAGTATCAAGCATTTTTTTTCTTTCCTTCTTCCATTTTTCTTTTTAACTGCCACCCCCTTCTTTCTTGCCCTCACTGCTCCGATATCTATCTGAGGCTTTGTTCTGGGCTTGCATAGCTGGGCAATTACAGCACTTGATGTCTGGGCCTGTTAAGTTTTATCTAGACACTGAGGGTCACATCTGATAAACAAGTTCCTGTCTCTGCAAGATCTTAACAGGACAGGACACACCACACTTCTGCGTCTTAGGAGTGTCTACCTTTATAGGGAGATAAGACAACCATAAACCTGTCTATGAAAGGTGATGCCAGCAGCCACCCACACTTCTGGGCCCCCCAGATCTCCTCATGGGAGGTACGCAGGGCCGTCAGCTCTCGCAGTGTTTGTGGGTTTTTACTTCTCAGTCCGCTCTGCACCACAGGAAACAACTGCATCCTATAGCGGAGCCAGGGCACTCTAAAGCTACACACACAGTTGCATCCTGGTCCCCACACTTCCTAGCTCTGTGATCGTGGGTAACGTACAACCTCACTGAGCCTCAGTTTCCTCATCTGCAAAACAGGAAGAATTCTGAGGTCTATCTTGCAGGGTGATTATGAAGTCAAAATGTGGTCACGCTTGTAACACACTTTCCCAGTGGCCCGGCATGCAGGAAGTGCTAGATACTGGTCAGTTACCATCACTGCCATCATGCAGCAACTGCAGAACATTTTTAGTTCCAGAGAGCAGTTAGGAAGCTGCTACCATCTCATGGAAGAGCACCTTTTAAAGGAGTCTCTGGAGACTATGTTACAATGAGCAAATGTATCATACTGAGATCAACAGTGTTCCCCGGAAGAGAGTCTGCTTTTAAAAATCAAGATTTACTATTCTTATTATTAACTAATACTTATTGACATCTCAGGAGCTTGGATGACACCAGGTTGGGTGGTTAGCTGCTAATCTAATGATTGTTATTTTAAACCCACTCAGTGGCTCCATAGGAGCCCTGGTAGTGTAGTAGGCTATGCATTGGGCTGCCAACTGCAAGGTCAGCAGTTCGAATCCACTAGTAACTGTGGGAGAAAGAGGAGACTTGCTGCTCCCGTAAAGTTTTACAGCTTTGGAAACATTATACAGGGTTCGCTATGAATTGGAATCGACTTGATGACATACATCCAACCATTACCAACACCAATGGCTCCATGGAAGAAAAGCCTGGTGAACTACTTTTGGAAAGATTAAACCCGAACCTAACCCAACCCACTGCCACTGAACTGATTCTGACTGATGGCAATCCTACCTAGGGTGACAACTCATAGCGACCCTGCACAGGTTTCTGAGGCTGTACATCTTTACAGGAGCAGAAAGCCTCATTCTTCTCCTGTAGAACAGCTGGTAGTTTCGAACTGTTGACCTTGAGATTAGCAGCCCAACTGGTAACCACTACGCTACCAGAGCTCCTTCTATATAGGGTTGTTGTTGTTGTTAAGTGCCATCGAGTCAGTTCCAACCCATAGCAACACTGTATAGGGTTTCCAAGGAGCAGCTGGTGAGTTTTAACCACCGACCCTGCAGTTCAGTGGCTTTGCAGTCTGGCGGCTCAACTCACAACGCTACCCCAGGACTCCATTCTACATAGGGTCGTTGTTGTTACTAGTTGCCATCGAGTTGGTACTGACCCATAGTGACCTTATACACAGCAGAACAAAACACTGCCCAATCCTGGGCCAACCTCACTACTGTTGCCACGCTTGAGTCCATCGATGCTGCCAACTGGCCAATCCATCTCACCGGGGCTCTTCCTCTTTTTCTCTGACCCTCCACCTTACCAAACATGATATCCTTCTCCAGCAACTGGTCCCTCCTGACAATATGTCCGAAGTATGAGAGACAAAGTTTGGCCATCTTGGCCTCCAAGGAACACTCTAGCTACACTTCTTCCAAAACAGATCTATTGGTTCTTTTGACAGCCCATGGCACTTTCAGTATTCTCCTCCAACACCATAACTCAAAAGCATCAATTCTTCTACAGTCTTCCTTATTCACTGTCCAGCTTTCACATGCATATGAGGTTACTGAAAATACCATGGCTTGGGTCAGGTGCACCTTAGTCCTCAAGTTGACATCTTTGCTCTGCAATACTTTAAAAAGGTCTTGTGCAGCATATTTGCCTAATGCAATACGTCATTTGATTTCTTGACTGCTGCTTCCGTGAGTGTTGATAGTTGATCCAAGAAGAATGAAGTCCTTGACAACTTCAATCTTTTCTCCATTGATAAGAATGTCGTTTATTGGTCCAGTGGTGAGGATTTTTGTTTTCTTGACATTGAGATGTAATCCATACTGAAGGCTGTGCTCTTTGATCTTCATCAGTAAATGTTTTAAGTCCTCTTCACTTTCAGCAAGCAAGGTTGTATCATTTGCATATTGCAGGTTGTTAACAAGTCCTCCTCCAATCCTGAAGCCACATTTTTCCTTCATATAACCCAGCTTCTCGGATTATTTGCTCAGCATACAGGTTGAATAAGTATGGTGAAAGAATACAACCTTGTCGCACACCATTTTTAATTTGAAACCATTCAGTGTTTCCATGTTCTGTTCGAACAACTACTTCTTGGTCCAGGTACAGATTTCTCAGAAGTACAATTAAGTGTTCTGGAATACTCATACTTCGCAATGTTGTCCATAGTTTGTGAAGAGCCACACAATCGAAAGCCTTTGCGTAGTCAATAAAGCACAAGTAAACATCTTTCTGATATTCTCTGTTTTCAGCCAAGACCCATCGGACATCAGCAATGATATCTCTCGTTCCACAGCCTCTTCTGAATCCAGCTTGAACCTCTGGAAGTTCTCTGTCAATGTATAGCGTTGTTGTTGTTGTTGTTAAATGCCGTCAAGTCGGTTCTGACCCATAGCAACCCTGTACAGGGTTTCCGAGGAGTGACTGGTGAGCTTGAACCACCAACCTTGCAGTTTAAACGGTTTTGCAGCATTAACCCATAGCGTCACAGTTGTTGTTGTTGTTGTTGTTAAGTGCCATCGAGTCGGGTCCGACCCATAGTGACCCTGTACAGGGTTTCCGAGAGTAGCCAAGACTAAATCTTTTCGTAAGGATCACCACCAAGAAAACCCTATGGAGCATTTCCACTTTGTAACACATGGGGTCCATAAGTTGGAATCAACTTAACACCAATGAGTTTGTTTGTCTTTTTGACACTTTCCCTCACCCCATGCCAACCACTGTGTTACTCTTCCATTCTCTAAAGCAATGAGAGGTGGGTATTATTCTAAAGAAACTCAGCATCTCAAAATGGAAAGTGTCTTGTTCACCTAGGTCAGGAACGGGAGAGGCAGAATTCAAACCAAGGTCCGTCTTCTGGTTCAAAGTCCAGGTTCTTGCCACTAGGTCACCAAAGAAGTTAAGAGACCAAAAACTGAAGATCAAGTATTTCATCTACCGTCCTCAATGATCACTCTCCGGAACAAGCAGCACAAGGCTAGAAACCCACTTCCAGTTACCTGATTTTACAGTAACCTCCACTCTTTTATGACATTCAGGAAAGGAGGCAAAGTACAGTAATGGAGTTGGGATCTGATGAGCTGGCATTGGCTTTGTTAGGTTCTAGCCTTGTGACTCTGAGCCAGTCTTCTACCCTCTCTGGGCCTCAAAATTTCTCTGTGTATAATCAGTGGTGGTGGTGTGGGAACCACAACTCTCTACGAGGGGAATATTAGACTTACTAAAGCATTAGTCACAGAGACTATGTTTCAGAGATCTGGAGTGGGGCTTTGGTACCTGCATGTTTTTAAAAGGTCTGGCCAGGTGAGTTTAGGCACAGACCAAATTGAGAAATACTGGGTTCCATGGTCCAAAGGCCCTTTTCTTCTCAGAACTGCTTGTTCACAGGTGTGATGGTTCACAGACGTGACTAAATGGCAAACCTGGCGGGTGTGGTCAGATGGCCATTGTTTCCTCAGAGCTTCCATTGTTAATAGTGTAGCCATTGTGTGTGGCTCTTGGGATACTTCCCCGGTACTAGTACTGTTTGTAGAAGACTCCTTCGAAAATCTTCTGTATGGAATTTTAAGACATATTTGCATTTTGGCAACAGCCAAGTGAATGATCAAAAATAATGGGCCTCATGTCCTTGGAAAGCTAAACACAGCTCTTCTTGGGAAGGAATTCCAGAGATGTTTTGGGTAGTGGGAGAAATGCTGAAACAATGTGGGCCTCCGATGGGCCCGCCTTGAAGGTCAGTCCTAATAAGGATGTGCAAACCCGAAAGCATTTGTTGACAACCCACTTGCCTTCTGTATAGTCCCAGCCTTGCACACTGCTCCCCTGGCCCTCTCTGAGAGAAGGGTCTTCTCATCTTACAGTGGGACGCCGACACAGACTCTCTAGGGTGTCGGTGCTTGGCAGGACCAAGCTCACGGTGATGCTGATCACTTTACCTGGCTCTGAAGCACCTTCTAAAACCCACAGCTCCCTTTGTGAAGTCCACAGGACAGGGGCATAAACCTTCTTTACAAACACTCTCCCAAAGTGCTGGGGCTCCACAGTCCGACTTCAGTACCAACTGTAGACTCTGGTGATAAAGGTAACAGAGAGCCTAAGGCTGTTGTTTTTGTTGTTAATGAAGTTAAGGCTATTTATTTATGGAACCATCTAGCTCCTTATAAAATTCCTGGACTCTACCCAAGGGCAAGCAGGCACATGTGGTCTGGACAGTTTTAAACAACTGACCTTAAACCAGTCAGATTACTCACTCTAGATGCACCGTTTCTCTCTTTACAATGTTGATGACCCATTTCTAAACTTACCACATTTTTCTACAAGCTTCAGAGGGAAAAGGATAAAAACCATCAGCCAATTCCTTGTCATGTTTTTCGATTGTAGAGAGCTAGGAAGAAAAACAAATGGCAAGCGTTCAGGTGAAGGTTGACTCAGCTCAGCTCTAGGTGTACAATAGGCCAACAGTAACTACGGCATGGGACAGCTCATAAAGGACTGTGACTTCACAGCCTTTGCATCACAGCCTTAGAGCAGGGGACCCTACAGAGGGATATTTTTCTTTGGTATGTAGAGAAACGGACTCAGAGCAGCTAAGTTGGTTGTGTCCCACTATGAGGAAGTGAACCAAGACCTGCATTTTTCCCTCTTCAGTTGCTTCGTGAAACCTAGTTCACAGGTGGAAAGAATGCAGCTTAATTGGTTGGGGGTTCTTTCTTTTCTAAATAGCTATTTAAAGTGGGATGAAATATTTGACTCTAGGAACCCATAAACCTAACAATTTCTTATGCTGGTGTGAGAGTGCAAGGTCTAAGGCTACCACCTAATTAATTCATTTGACAAGTGTCACCTCCCCAGGATTGGCAAGGATCACTCACAATGGGGACAAAGGGACGAGCAAGTCCCAGATCAGCCCTGAAATAGTTCACAGCTTTAGTGAGGGAGACAGGCTGCTGTTTACTCATAATTCCAACACCCAGCAGATAAACCAGGGGTCAAATGGGGCACGTCAGGCTGGATTTCCATAGCTTGGTCTCCATATGCTGCCTCAGGGTAGTGTTCAGACTCTCCCACCTTTGCCCAATCTCTGCAAACTGGAAACATCTGTGCTCCCACGTTGCCTTCAGTTCCCTCAAATGATCTCCATGAGGCCTTAACACCCTTCCTTCTCCTCAAAGGAGGTCTCCCTGACACCCACCTCCCTCACAGAAAGCTCCCTGAGTGCTCCAGCCTCTCTGACCTCCACCTTTCCCCATTTCCCCAGAGGCCTTTCTGCCTGTTGCAGCTCCCACTGAGCCATCAAACCCCATCCCAGTAACTTTAGCCACTGATCTGGTCACTCTTTGGCCTTCTCTGAGAGTCTTGTCTGGGAAGCTTTAGCCCTTTGCTCTCCGACTTCCTGTGTTTGAGCTCACAGGGGATTGCTGTCATGTGTATACAGAATGTCCACAGGCCTTTTTCTCACTCTTGCTCTCTCCTCACCTCCTCCCTGCTCAAGTTAAGGATTCAGTTTGTCCCTAGGACAGTGAGAAAATGTAGAATAAGGTCTAACCAGCTGCTATCTCATTCTGTAGGAGTGGACTATGAATGAGAAACTCTTGGTCAGCAAAAGTTCCCCAGCCCCAAAGGCTGAGACGTTTTGGAAGAAAAAAAAAAAAAGACCAAGATGAGTTGAGGGCACAAAGTGAATTGAGAAATACTGGGTTCCATGGTCCAAAGGATCTTTTCTTCTCAGAACTGCTTATTCACAGGTATAATGGCAAAATGGTGTGACTACAATTAGTGTCTTTGTGAATGCTACAAGTTAGAAATTTCCATGGAAGTCTTAACTAGCTTCTAAGTCTCACTCAGCTGTCAGTTGTCCAGAAAGTCCTCCCCCGCTTCTATAACTTATTCCTTCTTTGAGGCAACCAGAACCAGGGGTCTCCTACAGCAGTTTCTCTCTGAGTCGGTTCTGTCTTTTGTTCTATAACCTGTATCTCCTCACCTTGAAAGCTAATATAGTGGCAAGGAATGCGTGCCCTGGAGAGAGATTGCACAGGTGTGAATTTGAACAACAGCTTATTAGATGCATGACTTTGGAGTGCTACTTAACCTCCTCAAGCTCTTCAATGTCCGAATGTAAAAGCAGGGACAGTGATACCTACCTCATAGAAAATGCAGAGCATGCTTTCTCAATGGGAGCAGAAATTGTTTTTTGGGGGAGTGAACAAAATCTTCAGATATTATAATGGTTTGTAGATCTCCAAAGGGCCACAGTACTCAAGCAAACAGTTATCAGTGGTAACAGCATTTCATAGTGGAAAAGATGACTGGGGGAAAAACGCCTAAAAAGGCTCCTGGGGGTAGGGATGGTGATAAAAAAAGTTGCAAAACACTGTTGATATAGGCACTTAGCAAGCACTAAATGTAGCTTGTTGCTATTAAGTGCCATGGAGGCTCACCTGACTCACATCAACCCTGTATAGAATTTTCGAGAAACCGCTGGTGGGTTTGAACCCTGAACCTCGAGGTTAGCACTCCAGTACATATCCTACAGTGCCACACCAAGAATCCAAGTATAGGTTGTGACTATTCTTAATATTACTGAAAAACATAGGACCCAGGTGTCCTCGGGGGCTAGGCGGGGTGTCGTATCCTGTCCAGTCCCCCGGAGCCCAGCAGCGCTCAGTGGAGCTCTCATTATCCCCTCCTTCCAAAGAAATCCGCAAACTCTCCACCCAGATAGAGTTCAGAACAACATAGGAATAGTCACACACACCACACTGGCATTCCAGTGTCCCCTGCCTCCGCCCACCACTCCCCGGACCTTTCCACTTGGAAGGTGTCCAGTGTCATAAGGCCGAGACTGGAACCATCTCCTCCCGCCCTAGGCAAGGGATGGAGCCCAGGAGCGGCCAAGGGGAAGTGGAGCCGCGGTATGCTGCCCTCCTGACTTGCGGTGCCGGGCTCTCGCCCCCAAGGGGTCTGTCTGGAAACTGGGCGTAGGCAGTAGGGGCCGCGCCGGCTCTCACCTGAGAGCCTCCGAGGCTGGGTAGACTGACCACACAGGATACAGAAAGCTCGCGTCAGGTGCAGCTTCGGAATGAACACAGGTTCCTTGGCCAGCTTGATTTTTGTGTGAAGGCGGGCCGGAGGTCACCTGACCCGTATCATCTGATCCGTGGAATACAGTTCTTGGCGTGCACTATGGGAGTTGTAGTTTTCGGTGGTCTTAACCAGACAAAGAGTAGGGGGGAAGCGGCGGGATGCACAGGTCCCGTGTCAGCGACGGAGGCTTGGATGTGAGGGAAGATAAAGCAACAACAGCAACAAAGGGCTACAGATGCTCTTGGAGCGTCAGCACCTGTCAGCGAACTTTGAGCTACTATAGTGAATGAGGCACTTACTGTCCTGTGCTGTCGCGGACTCTCCGTTTAGGTCCCTCCTACCGCCGCCGCCACCTATATTCCGGGCCCGGTTAGTCTTCCTCTACCAAAGGCAAAACTAGGACCCGCCATTCTAAGTGTGGCTGCAGGAACGACGGGCGACACCGCTTTCCTCAAACCAAAGACGAGAAACCGCCATGTTGAGTGTGGCCGAGGGTTGCCAGGCAAGGCCCCGCCTCCGCACCGCCCATTCGGGTTAAGGGTGCCGGTAGGCATCTAGGTTAGCAGATACTGGCAGCGCCTGACACCATTGCTATGGAAGCACACACGATCACGCTCGGCATTGACCTGGGCACCACGTCTGTGAAGGCGGCCGTGTTGGAGGCCACGCCAGGCGACCCCTCTGGGTTCGTGGTCCTGGCGAGCAGTTCCCGAGCTGCGCTGGCGGAGGCGGCGGCCGAGAGTGTAGCGGCCGGGACCCAGGTGAGGCAGCGCCCTGGAGCCGCGCCGCCTCCAGGAGCCTCCTGACATCTTTTCTCCTCCGCAAAGGAGGCCGCCCTGACTACCTCAGCCTCCCTGGCAATCTCCATCAAGGAATTCTGCTCCAGCCTCTCTGATCTGCCTGCCCCCATCTCTTCCCGGGACCTCTCTGCTGTAACCCACCCTGATCGTTAGATTGTCCTAAGATCTTACCCACCTACTTCCACCAATCTCCCCATTCTTTGGCCTCCTCTGAGGGCTTTGTCCATGGCGCCTTCGTCCCGCGCTCTCATGACTTCCTGCACTCAAACTATGGAGGGAGAATTGCTGCCCTGTGTATAGAGAATTTGCACAGGCCTTTTTCTAACTCTTGTCATCTCTGCTTACCTTTTCCCTGTAGTCTCAAATTAAGGATGCAGTTTGTTTCCCAAGACACGGGCAGATGAAGAATCTGGTCTAACCAGCGCTCCTCTCATTCTACAGGAGTGGAATTGGACTGAGAAATTCTTGGTCAGCAAAAGTCCCCCTCCCGCAAAGGCTGAAACATCTTGAAGGAAGTAAGTCAGAACAGATAGAAAGGCATTGAGAGATAAATCAAGTTTTGAAAAGGCCAGAGTAGTTGCACTCTGACGACGAGTCTCTTGTGAAGGCCACAAAACAGAAACGGAGAATTTTATGACAGAGGGCTCCTTTGAGAGATGTAGCTTCCAAAAGGGTTACAGTTCTCAGAGCTGGATTCCATTAAACGTAGATATATGCTCAGTTACATGAAATGAGTATTGAATCAGGAACTTTCTGTGTAATCGCATGGCTTCATCTTTCTGGACTTCAGCTCGTTCTTTTCTCATTTGAAATAGATGGCTTCCCAAGAGTTGTATGTTTCATAAGGCTTGCAACACATCTGGATTCAGTTCTTTAGGGTTCAGAGTCCATCTTACTCAGAAACATTTCAGAGGACAAAGTTTTCAGGAGCACTTTATTTTTTAATTGTTGTTTAAGTACTGTGGAGGAGCTCTGGTAGCGTAGTGGTTACGAGTCAGGCTGCGAACCTTAAGGTCAGCAGTTCAAAACTACCAGCCGCACCGCGGGAGAAAGAGGAGGCTTTCTGCTCCCGTAAAGATTTACAGCCTCGGAAACCCTGTACAGGGTCGCTTTGGGTCGGAATCGACTCGACGGCACTTAACAACAACAAGAAGTACTGTGGAGTCAGTTCCGTCGCAGCGATCAGTATAGGGTTTCCGAGGGGTGACTGGCGAATTTGAACTGCCAACCTTGCTGTTCAAACCGACCTTGAGGCCCAGTGCATTATGCCACACCAGGGCTCCAGTTGTAGTTGTTGTTGTTAAGTGCCATATGAGATGGAGCCGAAGTCTACTCGAACCTTGTTGGGGTGCACCCAGAGCTGGAATACAGGAGAAGGATCTCAGCAGTGCTCTTGTCTCTTGAATTAGGGTCACTTCTTGAAAACTACTTTTTCCTGTTTTCTCCAGCATTCTTCAGACACACCCAGACACACCTGGCTAATGAAAAACTTGTTGTTGTTGTTGTTGGTAAGTGCCATTAAGTTCTGATTCACAGAGAACCCTATATAGGGTTTCCAAGGAGTTTGAACCACAGACCTTGTGGTGCTAACCAACCTTGTGGTCTAGTGCTTGTCCTCCAGTGCCACACCAGGACTCCATGAAGAGCTTAAGGAAGGCCAATGATAAATAATTTCCCTTGCCTCCTGCATATGTAAGTTGTGCTCTTGGACGTATAGCATTGCTATCATTTCATCTATAGCAGGTTCTTCAACTTCAGCAATGACATTTGGGATAGGTGATTCTTTGTTGTGGGGACTGGCTATTGTGGGATGTTCAGCAGCATTCCTGGCCTCTATTCACTAGGCACTAGCAGTACTCCCACTCTTCTCAGCTGTGACAACCAAAAAGGTCTCCACATTGCTAAACAGACCTGATGAGGCTTTTCTCTCCTCCTGTCCACACTTGTCAGTCATCAGGAGTATTGTGTACTGTTGTATTTATATTCCTCTCTGGGCTGCAAGGTTTGCGGTTCAAACTCACCAGCCTGTCCTCAAAGACCCTATCCAAGGTCACTATGAGTCGGAACGGACTCGATGGCACTTAACAACTAACAGAAAGATTGGCACTTCAAACTCACCCAAAGACACCAAGACAGGTGTTCCTATCATCCGCTGGAAGATAAGATTGGCGAGTTGCTTTTGAAAAGTCACCGCCTTGGAAACTCCATGGAGAATAGTTATACTGTGCACCCACGGGGTTACTGTTAGTTGGAATTGACTCACTGGTAACCAACAACAAGAACCTTTTTCAAATCTAAAGCTCTCACATTTACTCAGGAGCTGCTTGTTACGTGCTGTTGAGTTGGTTCCAACTCATAATAAACCTATGCACAACAGAATGAAACACTGCCCATTCCCGGCAATATGTTTGAGCCCATTGTTGCTGCCACTGTGTTAATCCATCTCATTGGGGGCTTCCTCTTTTGCCCTGACTCTCTACTTTATCAAGTATAATAAACTTCTCCAGGGACTGATTCCCTCCTGATAATATGTCAGAGGTATGAGAGACAGTTTCACCATCCTGGCTTCTAAGGAACATTCTGGCTGTACTTTGAACACAGATTTGTTTGTTCTTCTGGAAGTCCATGGTACTTTTCAATATTCTCCAGCACTATAATTCATCAATCTTCTCCAACACCATAATGCACCAATTCTTCTATGGTCTTCCTTATTCATTGTTCAACTTTCACATGCACAGGAGGTGACTGAAAATACCATGTCTTGGGTTAGGCGCATTGTAGTTCTCAAACTGAGCTCTTTGTTCTTGAACACTTTAAAAAGTTTCATGCAGCATATTTGCCTAATGCTATACTGTTACATGAAGTCCTGGTGTGGCGCTGTGGGTTAATGCGCCAGACTGCAAAGCTGTTTGAACTGCAAGGTCAGCGGTTCAAGCTCACCAGTCGTTCCTTGGAAACCCTATATGGTGTCGCTATGGGTTGGGATCGACTCAACAGCATTTAACAAATATAACAACATACTGTTAAGTGTCCCCTGGTCCCCCTCTAGGAATATGAAGAATCAGACTTAAGTGGTGACACCACTTCTCAAGGATGCAAGCACACTGGACATTAATTCACTCATAAGATTTAGTAGAAAATAATAGTCCACTTCAGAGAGAGAGAGAGAAGCCGGTCTGTCTTCGTGATAGGAGAAGACCCCAAGGAATTGGGGAACAAGGTTTAATAAACTCAGGACTCCTTCCCTAGGGGAGTTTTTTCACCCAGGGGAGTGGTTTGGGAGGTCTTTCATACATTTTTTTTCTGCAAATGTATCAAATGCCTTTTATGGTGGTGGGTTAATTGTATGCAGGGGTGGATACATATGTTAATGAGATTACAATAAATCAGTATACATCAAAAGATCTTGCTAAACTGAAAGGTTGTTAAGTGCCAGAATTTATGCAGTCAGTGTTCCTGGTTCTCAATGGGTTTATTGTGGTTCTGCCTTTCCTTTGGTCTGGTAGTAGCTTAGTGGTTATGAATCTGGCTGCGAACCTTAAGGTCAGCAGTTCAAAACTATCAGCTGTTCCGCAGGAGAAAGATGAGGCTTTCTGCTCCCGTAAAGATTTACAGCCTTGGAAACCCTATATAGGGCCGCTATGGGTCAGAACTGACTCGACGGCACTTAACAACAACAAGCAGGAAAGGGCTTGAGATATCCCTAATCTGTTCCTATCAGTAGGTCTTTTGATTTTCTCACTGCTGTTTCCATGAGTGTTGATTGTGGAGATTGTTGTTGTTGCTAAGTGGTGTTGAGTTGCTTCTGAGTTAGAGACCCTGTATCATATTCATCCTTAAAACTCTAACTAGTTGCTATGCACTGCCTATTCTTCTGCACCCCATTTCAGCAGTTCCTCTCCATGGTCTCGCCCACACAACTCACCCTCTCTGGGTCCATTTTAAACAGTGACTTCTCTGTCTTGGATGATGCAGCATCTGATCACCACGTGGGAACTCTCAAAACCAACACAGTTCAGTAGAAATACAAGCCACAAATGTCAGCCACATGTGCAATTTTCCAATTTCAAGTAACCCTATTAAAAAAATAGAAAAGCAGATGAAATTGATTTTATATTAACTGAATGTATCCAACGTATAAAATATTTAAAAGTATGAAAATAATGAGATATTAGCATTTTTTCTTTATTGTTTCTATTGATGTTGTTGTTGTTAAGTGCCATCGAGTCATTTCTGACTCTTAGGGACTCTGTATAGGGTTTCCAAAGAGTGGCTGGTGAGTTGAAACTACTGACCTTGTGGTTCAAACCGATCTTTCAGCCCAGTGCTTTATCCTACAGCGCCACTGCTATCAAATCGGTTCAAACTCATACTGAGCCTGTACAGGGTTTTTGAGGCTGTATATCTTTGTGGGTGCAGAAAGCCTCATCTTTCTCCCATGAAGTGGCTAGTGGACTCAAACCACTGAACTTGTGATTTGCAGTCCAGTGCTTATCCTACAGAGCCATGGCACTCTTTCCCTCCCACTAACTCTGAAATCCAGTGTGTATTTTGTACTAAGAACATGCTCAATGCCACTGGTTCCCATATTGGGTAGTGCTGATCTCTGCCTCCTGCTTTCTTCCCCTGCTGCCTGTTTCTTCCTCTCGGATCATGCACAGCCCTGTGTCTGCTCTTTCCCACTCTTTCACTGCCTCCTCAGTTCTGCAGTAGTGTCTCCTAGACTCTCCTATACATAAGGACATCCTTTTAACATGTGGGGTCCCTCCTCAGGAAATACTTTGTGCTTCCTCTCCACTCCTTTCCCATCTTCTTGCCCTTCCTCAGTTTCCTTCCTAGACTCCTTTGTTCATGTGAATTATGAGCCTAGACCAGCAGGCTGAAAGGGGACAAGTGAGAGACTACCTCCAAAGTGGGAATTGCACTCTGAAGCGAAGTGAGGACTAAATCTTCAGATGCCC